TTTTCACATTTTTAAATGTAACTTAACTTCATTCACATTTTTAAATGTGACTTAAGTTTCCAAATACTTGTGTTATTCAGACTCATCATTTGAGTTGCAAATGTGCACAAAGATTGCATTCTGCCATCTAAGCTCAAAGATGCTATAATTGTCATGCAATCACTTATTTTGCCCAGGTCTGAATATTACTGCCCAGTAGTAACAAGGACTCAAGATTTCAAAGGAATTGCATTCTTGTGATCTGAATCAACACTTGAGACATGGAGCACAAGTGTGTTCATTGTGCATCAGCATTATTCTCTTGTTAATCTTGTTTGATCTTCACATTTGCATGAAGCATCTTCTTACAGCATTACCACTTACCAGTGATTTATTCTTACCTACAATCAAAGGCTGCTTATTTATCAGGCGTTTCTAAAGTCAGTTCATTTTGGACATTTACATAGTAAAATTAATCCCTTGGCAAGTTCGCAACCGTTTTGTGCTGCAGGCGCATATCAGTTAAAAAAAAAGCATAGAGATGCTAAAGAATTCTTAACCGTAAGGAGTAAGGAGTTGTAGAAAGTCATTAGCTTTTCTGTTTAAAACACTAGTTTAGATCTGATAGGTGGCACAGTGACTTTCTCTTCATTTCACGAGTGAAGAACAGAATCTCACTCTGCAGGTGAAAAGCATTTGTCTTTATAAAAGCATAAGAGCAGCAGTTCTGTGATGCGGATGTACTGCAGTCTCATAGAGCAACACTGTCCTCTACTGACAGAACATTACATTCCAGCTGGGAGACTTTATTCACATTCAAATATTACAAAGTATGGTAGGTATAAATATTGAAAGGCTGAATGTTTGTCAACAACATGTGCAGGTCATTTTTCATCCTGAAGGTAAAAATATAAGGTATATTGTATGATCATATAAACCCTGCGGTTGAAAGGTTTGAGGTCGGTAAGATTTTTAATGTTTTTGAATGAAGTCTCTTATGATCAGCAAGGCTGCATTTATTTGATCAAAATACAATAAGAACACTAATATTGTGAAATATTATTACAATTTAAAATAACTGCTTTCTGTTTTTAATATATTTTAGAATGTAATTTATTCCTTTGCTGGCTGAAAGCTGAATTTTCAGCATCATTACTCCAGTTTTGAGTGTCACGTGATTCTTCAGAAATCATTCTAATATATGGATTTGGTACTGCTTTATGTTTGTGGAAACCATGATATATGATATACAGTATATATATATATATATATATATATATATACATACATACACAGTATGCGTATATAATTATATATATATATATATATACTGTATTTATATATATATATATATATGACACTACATGTTTTTTTCTGTAATTTTTTATAAAGTTGCCCCTTGTGTATTAAGTATTAATTTCTTACATATATTTCATGGCAATTATGGCAAATCTTATACTCATTACTGTAATGCTAATAATAATAATAAAAAATATTTTAAAATATTAACAATACAAATATTTATGGCACATAATAGTATTTGATGTACTGCCTTTATTCCAGATTGAAATAAAACCTTAGAGAATAATGTGAATTAAAAAAAAAAAGTAGTTTATTTTAAAAAGTATTTATTTAAAGTATATTTTCCGGGGCGCATTACAGAAATGAGAATTTGGGAGTGAAAATGTACTTAAATTGTAAATGATTTTACAATTCCAATTATTTTATTTTTTTTTTGTAAAATGTGACCTTTTCTTGATATTACTGATGGCTTTGGTGGCTTTCTTTGCATATTTTGTTGCAACCAAATGCCTGATGATGCCTGAAGGAGTTCAGTGCTTCACAGTGTTCTCTCAGTAACAAGAAACAAAAACAATAAGTGTTATATTGTGTAATGTTTATTGCTGATTAGAAGTTGAATATATATTTATATATACAGTTGCATACACTGTAAAACCAAATATCCCATATTGTAGAATATGAGATGATGAATGAATGAATGAATGAATGAATGTCTCCAGACCCGCAGTGGTAATGAACTGTATCTTAAACACAGCTGATTGTCTCTGTGGCACCATCTAATACTGCAACTCAATGATAACGCTGTGGAATTGCATTTCTACTCCTATTTTCAGGATCCGGACTACAATTAAATAAGCACTGAATTTTTTTAAACAACATTACATAGTGTTGCTAAGCTGTTGAATGTCTTGCATTTTTAAATAGATAAAATTAACGTATATTCAAAAAAGGGGATCACTGCAATAGAAATGGAATACGTGGAACTGAGATCAAAATTTAAGTGTCAGTTCACGCAAAAATTAAAATTCTGCCATCACTGACTCACTCTCATGTCGTTCCAAACTTGCATGAATTTCTTTCTTCCGTGGAACATAAAGGATATTTTGTAGAATGCTGGGAACCAAAATGCATTACATTGTAACTTTTGTCCTGCAAGTCAATGGTAACAGAGACTATTTGGTTAACAACACATCTTTTTCCTTTCCAAGTAAAAGGCAAATCATACAAGTTTCGAACAACATTAGAGTGAGTAAATGATGACAGAATTTACATTTCTGGATGGACTATCCCTTTAAGTCCCTCATGATTGTAAACAATAAAAGAAGGAAAAAGTAATAGCAGCAAGTGAACACCATCACCAAATCTGACTTGAAAACCAAAAAAAATAATAATAATTTAAAACAATGAACCAACAGCTGCAAATTCTGTAAAAGTGCCTTTCATTTCTGTAGCAGTACATTTCACAGTACTGGTAAAGATTTATGACTTGCATTGATGTGCAATTTTTACTGTTTTCGTACTGCTTTTAAAGAAATAACGTATGCTTGATTCCCAGCAATAGTACAATGACCATAGTCGCAGATGCTCTACTGTAATGTAGTACGTCAGGAAGGACATAATAGCCCCTATGATGAATCATGTGTTGAGATAGATGCCTGAATTGGCGAGTTTCCTCCTGGGATGAGATTTGGGCACCAACCTAAAACATTAAACCGAGCCGTTCCCGCAGAACCATCTGTAGCTGCCTTACAATACGGAAAAAGTAAAGCAGCGACCCTACATGTGCGTTAATATTCTAGACTCAGCCGAAGAGTGGAAATGGATGAGGAACGTTGCATTTAACTACATTCGCATACATCAAACCAACAGCGTAACTCTAGTTTTCACTTTTCATCAAGTTTTATTAAATCTACAGTAGATGGGACAGTCCGGTTCACATGGCTGCACCCTGAGCCCCCTGGCACTGAGGTTCTCATTTCAGGCAGTCCTCCGTCACGCCCTGTGACGCCAGCTCTGAGAGCACATTGTCCAGGTAGTTGGGGTCGGGGTAGCCGTGGCCGGAGACGTTGGACATCATCTCCGTCTTGTGGTGGATCTCGTTCCATATGACGGTGTCCGGCTCCCCTGTGGTGCTGGAAGTGCCCACGGTGAAGATGAGGCGCCGTGTCCACGCCACTTTCAGCAGCACCAGCACCTGGAGACGGTTGGAGATAATCAGGACCCTCAGTTATAAAGTAAACAGAGGATGCGGTTTGCTCACAGAGGAAAATGCAAACCACAGCGCTGCGCAACGATCAACTTTAAACTTTAAAGTCCCCATGAAATCAAAATTAACGTTTTTTGGGTGTTAGTATCAATATGTTAGTCTTAAGGTTATCTATACGGCAGTGTGCTCCAAAACAGTGACAAAATTCGCATTTAGAAGATATAAGCATTCAAAGCTTGCAGTTCGTCACTTCCGCCAAAACGGTTCAATGATTTTTTTGACGTCACATCGTACTTCAGCTTCTCATCAAACTTTCTGTCCAATCAAATGCTCTCTAGAATCCGAAGCGCCCGCCCATTACACTACAAAATAGACGCTGAAGCCGCGGCTGAAATCGGTCACTTGTCTACAGAATGTGTATTTTCTGTACAGTGAATGGCACGTAGTGCACTATATAGGGGACAGGGAACGATTCAAACAGTGTAAATATGCTTTCCATTGAGGAAAAAAAGAAGTCTGGTTTCGCGCTGTGTCACGCTAACCACCGCACCACACACACACTCTGCTCCGGTCCAGAGACGCGATAGCACGGAGCGGATCACATGCGCGAGTCGGCACAGACCACAAAATGTATCGGAGCTATTTGAATTCTACACAGAATGCTATATTTTATAGCAATATGGATGAGATTGTGGCTGGCATACCCTGTCAAATGCGGCTTTACGGAGCTCAATGGCTCTAGCCCAAGCTGTGATATAAACGAACGCTATTGGCTATTTTAAAAAGGGGCGGGGCTGCTTGATATGTCCCACGCTGTCTTCCTGTTTCAGTTAAAATGACGTCAACAGAGTAACGCTACGTGTTTCTAAGCATTTCAGGGGACCTTTAAATGCTGAGCAAGACCTGGTCGTGATCCAATACATACTGCATTTCTTTTGTTGCTTCACTGCAGTATGGAGTGATTTGTTTTTCATGCAAGAAAAATCACATGCTGTTAAAACTCACACGCTTGTGCAATGTAATTCAATTTGTAATGAACTCTAAGGTTATGAAAACAGGAAATTATGTTCTGCGATTATTGACAATCAATAAATGAGTTTAAACATTCTCTTAAAGTTTCTACCTTTATGAGGTTAGGATGCTCTGATGTAAGTGGAGGATTCTAGGGAATTTCAGACAAAGTTTCTGAAGAAACTGACACAACTAGCCCATAAATATGTGAACATACAGGGCTGAATAACAAAGACGGGCCACTTTCCCTATGGGCCATTTTTAAATGTGCATATGCATTTTTAGACCTTGCAAAAGCAATTTTCTGTCGTCTCAAACCCATAAGACTTCTGTTCATCGTTGGAACACAAATGAAGATATTTTTAATATTCTCTCATCACTTGTGTTCATTCATTGAAAGTCTAGGTAATCAATATTTTCAAGCTTTAAACAGTACATCAAGTGATTGTATATAATTTAAAACGGCCCGATTCATAACTTAATTTTACAATGTCTTTATGCACTTTTTGAAGCTTGAAAATGTTGATTACCTAGACTTTCAATGAATGAACACAAGTGATAAGAGAATATTAAAAATATCTTCATTTGTGTGCCGAAGATAAATGGAAGTCTGGAACAGGCAGATGTGTTTGGAAAAACATGAGGGTGAGTAAATGATGCACTATCCCTTGAAATGTGTATTTTTCTGTGACATTTGCAAATTCAGCTGGTCAACTTGTAAAACTGCAAACACAGATGAGGTTTTTGTTGAATACCGCAAGAATGACTAGTTAAGAATGGGTTGAAAATGACATTCAGTAAAAGCATTTCCATGCATGCCATCATTATCCAGTGTTTATTAATTTATTGTTGTCTAAGAGTTTCTTGTATAATTATAACAACTCTATAATTTGGAGTCATTATTGCATATTTTATTTGTACAGAAAAGTTAACATTTGATTAAAAAAAATATTTGTGAGAATATGTGTGATAATTAAAAAAAAATAACAACGTTTTTTTAAATAAATATTAAGTTTAGAGAATTAGTGATTTAAAATTATAAATGTAAATACATTAGAAATTTTAATTCTTGAAAATTAATATAAGCTCATTTTAATGGGAATCTCTGCAATTAAGATTTTTGCGCAAGGCAAAACATTTCACCGCACTGATTTTGCATCAGGTTCAAGCTTTTCACATGAATTTCCCGCATTCACCAACAGAAAAGCTGATTGGTTTGAAAGGGACTTCTGTGCGAGTGCTTTGTGCATCACTTCACTATTGAAATGGACCTTTTTTTATGTGACCACACCTTTAGTTACAAAAATACAGCAAACATAAACAACAATACATGCACAGGGCATTCAAATCTAAACCTCTAGCACCTAGCCATTTATTTTATTTTTATTTTTTCAAACTAGTACTAGCCTGCTACATTTTTTACACGCAATGACATTTTAATGGCATGTTGGTGTCAGTATGTGAATGGTAGCACGGAAAGCCAATGCTTGTGTAACACGTAGTACTGGAACAGTTGATTCAGCAACTGAACAGTAATTTAACAGGTTTAATGTGTGAAAGGGGCTAGTGATTCAATATTCTGACAAATGAGCATGGCATAATTGGCATGGCATCTTTATTTGAACTGGGTCAATTCCCTCCATTACCTTTCTTCCTTTGTCATTGTCAGGAAGGAAACAGAAGCGAGGGAATCCTCTGCACGTATACGGCTGCCCAGGGTTTGGGTGCTCAGGACCCTGCAGACACAGAGTGCATTAAGATGATGAGTGCTTAGTGCGGGCCGTGGCAAGGACAAAACCATTTCCACACAAAGGAATGAGTCAGTTATGCTCCTAACAAACGCAGTTGGATGCTGATGTCAGTCTGCTGGATGAAAACATTTGGCTGGTTCATATGGACCACTAGCACTTCTTTCAGTTCATTTATTTACCTCTCCTAAAACGGTTATTGTTAAGAATAAAATTTAATCATGGTGCAAATAAATATATATCAGCTTGCCAAGTCAGACCTGTATTCCGGGCGGGATGTTGTAAATGATTTGTATTGTGCCGCAGTCTGCGTGTCCAGGCAAAGACTGAGGGATACTGTAAATCTCCATCTTGCCCTTTGGTTGGGTACCGGTCTTCTCTCCATAGATTGTCTTACATGAGGGGCACTGAAGACTCCCATCCTGTGGTGTGACGAAATGTGATAAGTGAGAGAAAATGAGTTCAGCTGAAAGGAATGGTTTACATGAAAATATGTATTTGGGAACTAAGAAAATCAAGTAATTCTTATAATTGCATGAACCTATATTGTCATTTTTGGAGTAATTCCAGATATGTATTATATACAACGATGTTCAAAAGGTCAGTAAGTTTTTTTATTTTTATGAAATTAATACTTTTATTCAGCAAGGACTCATTCAGTTGATCAACAATGACAGTGAGGACATTTATAATGTTATAAAAGACTCCTATTTCAAATAAATGAACTTTCTATTCAAAATGTATCACAGTTACCACAAAAATAATAAGCAGCACCTCTGTTTTCAACATTGATAATAAGAATGTTTCTTGAGCACCAGCATAAAATGATTTCTAAAGAATTATGTGACACTGAAGACTGGAGTAATGATGCTGAGAATTCAGCTGCATCACAGGAATACATTACATTTTAAAATATTCAAATAGATAACAGTTATATTAAATTGTAGCATTGTAACAATTGTAATATTTTACAGTATTACTGTATTTTTGATGTGTCATAATTTACTCCAAACTCACATTTCAAACCTATTTTGGGTATTAACTGTACCAATCTATAATGCGTTCCAGGAATTATCCTACAATAGTTATGCAAATTAGTTGCATACAACTAAAATAATTGCTTTAATTGATTAGTTCCCAAATCCGTGTTGGTAAGGTATTGCACACCTTGGTTCCATTGTTGTACATGGCCAGCATGCAGAGCATATGGAAAGTGTGACCACATTTTGTGAGTTTGCCCACAGTGTTGGGCTGAAGAGACTGAGAGCACTCAGCTGGGACCTCATAACCAGACGGGCAGGACAGGCGCTCCATACAGATAATACAGTCCTGAAAGCACACAGCCAGATGTCACACATCTCATAGGGTAGGACATGGATAATATTTCCAGAAGAAGCTTTGAACATATAGGTGAATGGCATAAAAATGTGTACAGGTTATATATTAGGACCAGTAATATTTCTGCATTATTACATAGGAAAAACGGCATAATAGTCATGAAAATAAATGTAAAAATTGTCCATAAATGGGCATTATTTTCTTTAAGCGAAAATTACATTCCATTTAATTATGGGGTAAAACCTCATCACTGACCTGTGAAATTCACCCATTTATGCTAGTACAAAAAGTGTTATTGGACTGTGAACTTTAAATATACCTCATCTGGGACCACAGGCACTTCCTCCATGTATTTCTTAATGACTTCTTCTGGTTTCTGAGCTGGTGCTAAGAACATAAATAAGACACGAGTCCAATAACTGGCGCTCAAAATCAAATGTTATGACATGATTACATTTTGTTAAAGACGCCTTGAAAGCTTAAATTACAGTGTTGTGGCTTGTAGAGCCATATATGTCTGTCAGCTAGGCTGTGTGTTCGGTTATTAATGATTCATGTACTACACAGATTTTTGGCCAATCAAATGAATCCTTCCTTCTAATAACACCTATAAGAGACAAATTATTTAACATGGCTGTGACTTTTTTTTTTTTTTAATAATCAGTATGTCCCACCCAAAGTTCATGTTTCAAGCCATTTCATGGGTTATTTAACATCCAATTAACTTCCCTTTACAATATGAATGCTCTCTGAAGTCAACATTCAGATTTTTTATATACAGTGGGTACGGAAAGTATTCAGACCCCCTTCAATTTTTCACTCTTTGTTATATTGCAGCCATTTGCTAAAATCATTTAAGTTAATTTTTTTTCCTCATTAATGTACACACAGCACCCCATATTGACAGAAAAACACAGAATCGTTGACATTTTTGCAGATTTATTAAAAAAGAAAAACTGAAATATCACATGGTCCTAAGTATTCAGACCCTTTGCTCAGTATTTAGTAGAAGCACCCTTTTGATCTAATACAGCCATGAGTCTTTTTGGGAAAGATGCAACAAGTTTTTCACACCTGGATTTGGGGATCCTCTGCCATTCCTCCTCGCAGATCCTCTCCAGTTCTGTCAGGTTGGATGGTAAACGTTGGTGGACAGCCATTTTTAGGTCTCTCCAGAGATCACAGCTATAAACACTTTGACTATTTGTGCATTATGCAGATACTTAAAATAATGTTTATTTGAAAATAAACTCCTATTGTATCATTAATGCAAAATGGCATGTTTGTGTTGGTTTCTATGACCAATTACATTCTGGAAATGTGTTTTGGTAGGAAGCATTTAGACATGCTATGACATCCGTTTCCAGTGTATTTCCAAGTAACAAAAACAAATAGCTAAGGCAATAATGCTTGCTCTAGACTTCCTGAATCAGAGTTTGCTTTAATTTTTATGCATTTTTATGCATTATCGTACACTGATTATACGCTGACACATATAATCTCATGTAAACACATTAAACCATTTACGAAATTTCCCCTAGAAAAGTTTAAGCAAAACCAATTAAAACTCTTTATTTTTTGCACATCAGTCCCTAAGGGGATACGATGATGGGGAAAAAAATTTCAATGCTTTTGAGTTCACTCACAAAACTTTTGAATTCCCCCAAGAAACTTTGTGTTCACTTGTAAAAGCACCGAAACATAGTTTTTCCTCCCACCTATTTAAAAATAAATTGTTTAATTTTATAATTAAATATACTAATACAACTAATAATAATAATAATAAACAATTTGATAAGTAACAGTTTATTAGTGCAGGAACTCAAATAATGTGAACGTGCATTTATCGGTCATTTTACAAAGGCTCTGAAGGTGGCTCATCCAATCAGAATTTAAAGTCAGAAATATTTGTTATATAAATGGCTTTTCTTAAACAGTTAATTTTTGATACTTATCAGCCTTTTACATACCGTATAAAAGCACACACTGTTCAGATTACACATCCTGGTGTTAGTTTTTAGAGTTGTCAGTAGGGTTGGGTATCGTTTGAATTTTATCGATTCCAATTCTGCTTATCGATTCCGATTCTTATCGATTCCTAGTTTCGATTCCAATAAGATAAAAAATCCAATATAAAAAAAATTCAGTCAAACATTTAGATGTCAAACATTTATTCTGTCTTTTTACAAAGCATTCTGTTGCAGCTGAATAACACGAGCAAAAATCAGCAGCCTACAGAACACTGCAAGAGGAATTTTGCCTATGCTTTAAAAAAAATACCACAGCAAATTATATTATATTGTTTATGATGATATACTAACGTAGTTTTCTGCATATTGGTCGACAAATATGAAAGAAGTCAGTTTCGGCCCGGAACAACCTTTTCTACAGTGGAAATACACGGAACGGTTCGAGAACGGACACAAACCGGGAACCTGTACCGCAACCTCGGTTATCTGTGCTCGCACTTGCGCTTCGTGTGAGCGCCGCACGCAAACAGGGCGCAAATTCTTTCCGTTTCTGCACTTAAATCGTTTTTAATCACATTAAAATGCGAATGCAGGAATCGTTAAGCAGAATCGAAATGCATGCGTCTTATCGAATACCCGGTTCTTAGAAATTTGGAATCGGTTCTAAAATGGAACCAGCTTTCGATACCCAACCCTAGTTTTCAGACAACATTGCAATAGCCAGTTCAATACAGAAAATGTGTTTAGGATGTTTTAGTAAGCTGATATTAAAGCAGTAAACTAACATTGCTTGTGAGTGTCAGTCTGAACCTAATATCCATCTTCCGTGTTACAAACGTTGAAATAACCGGCATTAACAACAACACAGGTTATGCATGGTTAGAGAGAAAGAAAAAAACAGACCGGGAACCATTGTTATTCCATAAACCCCCCAGCAGACTTCTGTCTGCAGTGTCCCAGAGGTGAGCAGGCAGGTGTCAAGCCGAATCCCATCAATAGTGCATTCATTATGTGATCGGGAGGATGGAAGCAAGACAGTGTGACCATGACAGCATAAACATGAAATGGGTGAAAACATGGCAGCCGAAGCAAGCGATAAATAGCGAAACATCTTGCAATGTCCGGAAGGAGCATGTCAGAATGACGCTGAAGTACCAGACCCCTTGAGGAAAATATAAACTGAAAGTAGAATGGTAGGCAAAACAGTAGAGGTCGACCGATGTATCTGTTTTGCAATTAATCAGCACTGATAGTTGATTGCTGGAATTATTGGCAAAAATCCATGCCGATAGTTTTTCTGGGTTGCATCAGTTTGCTGGAGCTAAACGCTGTCATTAGACAGTACGAGAGCGGCATCTAGAGCTGAATCACTGACACCACGTGCTGTTTGTTTTGACATGACACTGCAGAGCGGGACACTTAAGATGCGCATTTAAAACAGACAACGGAACGGTGTGTATACAGTACACTGTAGAGCATGTTTTCTACGTAATTTTCAATTACTACGTAATTAATTTGTTGACTAGATGCTGCATTAGTGGAGAAAGAAAAGCTATCAATGCTGAGAGGACGCGAACATTAGCAGCACCTCAAATGGTTAAAACATTGTGACCAAAACACACGTAAGTCCGACCCAAATGTTTAATGTCACGATTGTTACCAACTATTTGCATTAGTTTATATCCAGCTGGTCACATTAATAATGCATTTGTTAGCCAGCAAAGTTGCAGATTTAAAGCTGTGACGTGAGAAAGCAAGCTGATATGTTGATTCAGCTGACAGAAGTCCTGCCGCGCTGCAGAGCGCCATTCACACAGTTTTCCACTAAATTATATTATATTTGTCCTAAATCATTGTCAGTGTACATAATGACTTCACCCTATGTTGTAAAATTGTGTATTGTGCTTTTTTCAGTGAAACGTTTGTCTTTCTGTGGCTCTAATAAAGTCTGTATGCTTCATATAGAGAGCTGTAATATAGATTGTGCTTTTTCTTTACGTTTTGCTGTTTTTGTTTAAACACTGAACTTCAAACTCATCTGTGCCACTTTTTAAAGTAAACAGTTTTGGACCACCACTTGAACTGAACGCGGCATGTCCGGTGTGTGCGCTACCTGCGAGTTCTCCTCGATGCGCCGCTGCGCTTTTTGCCCGGTGTGCGACTGCCATATTTTGTTATTTTGATTAGATAATCATCATGTGTTCTAGAATAGAAGAATAGAACTTCTAGAATAGAAGTTAAAGTGTGAGAGTATACATACAATATCCATATGTACAGTATGTGATTTCATGCTATGGCCGTTGTGTAGATATTTAATCTAATTAGAGTGTGCTAATTTCAACATCTACTAATAGATTTTGCATTATTTGCTTCTGTTAACATTAGTTAATAAGCTAAGAACTAACTTTAATGATCAATATATAATTAATATTTAATATTGATATTTATGATCATTTACAAAGTATGGTTCAGTACTGTTTTTTTTTTTTTACTAGTAGAGCAGAATTTTAGTTTTCATTCAGTATCCATTTTAAAAATCCATCAGTTGATTAATCGGTATCGGGCCGGTGTGGTCCAACCTAGCTATAGGTATCGTAAAATCCACTATCGGTCGACCTCTAAAAAACAGCAATTAAAAAAAGGATAGGAGCGGCAACAGTTTGCAGGCCAGCGGAGGGCAGGTTCGGTCGGACTGGTTGGCGGTGCTTAACTACCTGTCCTGGACTGTCTCTTTGCCCTCTTAATGGAGCTGGGCTGGCCATTGGTGGGCCTGCTGGAGCCACTCTGGCAGAAGGGGGCGGTCAAGAAGCGAACTCCCAGTCCTGCAGCTGACATCAAAATGGAAGCCATGCCTGGAACGGCCGAAGGCCATGTGGAGACATGCAGGAGGATAATTAAAAGTTTAAAAACACTGCATAGTTTTCTTGTTATAAAATATAGATTAATAAATTAAAGTTATTAAAGAGATTCAGTCATGTTGCTTTTGTTCTCTAATTAACATTAATGACAGGCAGAGTGTTTATTAGGCTGCTGTCTCTTTAACACCGAACACACGCAGATCTAAAAATACTGTACATGTGTGTTTTCTTTCTCATCTGTTTACGTTCACGTAAGACAAAAACGGCTGTGTTTATGATGATATACTAACGTAGTTTTCTGCATATTGGTCGACAAATATGAAAGAAGTCAGTTTCGGCCCGGAACAACCTTTTCTACAGTGGAAATACACGGAACGGTTCGAGAACGGACACAAACCGGGAACCTGTACCGCAACCTCGGTTATCTGTGCTCGCACTTGCGCTTCGTGTGAGCGCCGCACGCAAACAGGGCGCAAATTCTTTCCGTTTCTGCACTTAAATCGTTTTTAATCACATTAAAATGCGAATGCAGGAATCGTTAAGCAGAATCGAAATGCATGCGTCTTATCGAATACCCGGTTCTTAGAAATTTGGAATCGGTTCTAAAATGGAACCAGCTTTCGATACCCAACCCTAGTTTTCAGACAACATTGCAATAGCCAGTTCAATACAGAAAATGTGTTTAGGATGTTTTAGTAAGCTGATATTAAAGCAGTAAACTAACATTGCTTGTGAGTGTCAGTCTGAACCTAATATCCATCTTCCGTGTTACAAACGTTGAAATAACCGGCATTAACAACAACACAGGTTATGCATGGTTAGAGAGAAAGAAAAAAACAGACCGGGAACCATTGTTATTCCATAAACCCCCCAGCAGACTTCTGTCTGCAGTGTCCCAGAGGTGAGCAGGCAGGTGTCAAGCCGAATCCCATCAATAGTGCATTCATTATGTGATCGGGAGGATGGAAGCAAGACAGTGTGACCATGACAGCATAAACATGAAATGGGTGAAAACATGGCAGCCGAAGCAAGCGATAAATAGCGAAACATCTTGCAATGTCCGGAAGGAGCATGTCAGAATGACGCTGAAGTACCAGACCCCTTGAGGAAAATATAAACTGAAAGTAGAATGGTAGGCAAAACAGTAGAGGTCGACCGATGTATCTGTTTTGCAATTAATCAGCACTGATAGTTGATTGCTGGAATTATTGGCAAAAATCCATGCCGATAGTTTTTCTGGGTTGCATCAGTTTGCTGGAGCTAAACGCTGTCATTAGACAGTACGAGAGCGGCATCTAGAGCTGAATCACTGACACCACGTGCTGTTTGTTTTGACATGACACTGCAGAGCGGGACACTTAAGATGCGCATTTAAAACAGACAACGGAACGGTGTGTATACAGTACACTGTAGAGCATGTTTTCTACGTAATTTTCAATTACTACGTAATTAATTTGTTGACTAGATGCTGCATTAGTGGAGAAAGAAAAGCTATCAATGCTGAGAGGACGCGAACATTAGCAGCACCTCAAATGGTTAAAACATTGTGACCAAAACACACGTAAGTCCGACCCAAATGTTTAATGTCACGATTGTTACCAACTATTTGCATTAGTTTATATCCAGCTGGTCACATTAATAATGCATTTGTTAGCCAGCAAAGTTGCAGATTTAAAGCTGTGACGTGAGAAAGCAAGCTGATATGTTGATTCAGCTGACAGAAGTCCTGCCGCGCTGCAGAGCGCCATTCACACAGTTTTCCACTAAATTATATTATATTTGTCCTAAATCATTGTCAGTGTACATAATGACTTCACCCTATGTTGTAAAATTGTGTATTGTGCTTTTTTCAGTGAAACGTTTGTCTTTCTGTGGCTCTAATAAAGTCTGTATGCTTCATATAGAGAGCTGTAATATAGATTGTGCTTTTTCTTTACGTTTTGCTGTTTTTGTTTAAACACTGAACTTCAAACTCATCTGTGCCACTTTTTAAAGTAAACAGTTTTGGACCACCACTTGAACTGAACGCGGCATGTCCGGTGTGTGCGCTACCTGCGAGTTCTCCTCGATGCGCCGCTGCGCTTTTTGCCCGGTGTGCGACTGCCATATTTTGTTATTTTGATTAGATAATCATCATGTGTTCTAGAATAGAAGAATAGAACTTCTAGAATAGAAGTTAAAGTGTGAGAGTATACATACAATATCCATATGTACAGTATGTGATTTCATGCTATGGCCGTTGTGTAGATATTTAATCTAATTAGAGTGTGCTAATTTCAACATCTACTAATAGATTTTGCATTATTTGCTTCTGTTAACATTAGTTAATAAGCTAAGAACTAACTTTAATGATCAATATATAATTAATATTTAATATTGATATTTATGATCATTTACAAAGTATGGTTCAGTACTGTTTTTTTTTTTTTACTAGTAGAGCAGAATTTTAGTTTTCATTCAGTATCCATTTTAAAAATCCATCAGTTGATTAATCGGTATCGGGCCGGTGTGGTCCAACCTAGCTATAGGTATCGTAAAATCCACTATCGGTCGACCTCTAAAAAACAGCAATTAAAAAAAGGATAGGAGCGGCAACAGTTTGCAGGCCAGCGGAGGGCAGGTTCGGTCGGACTGGTTGGCGGTGCTTAACTACCTGTCCTGGACTGTCTCTTTGCCCTCTTAATGGAGCTGGGCTGGCCATTGGTGGGCCTGCTGGAGCCACTCTGGCAGAAGGGGGCGGTCAAGAAGCGAACTCCCAGTCCTGCAGCTGACATCAAAATGGAAGCCATGCCTGGAACGGCCGAAGGCCATGTGGAGACATGCAGGAGGAAGGGAGGAGGAGGAGTGAAGGAAAGGAAGAGTAATGAGCCAAGAGTGGAGAGGCCAACCACAAGTGAGGCATGCTCTGATGAAGTCAAGAAAAGTTTAGGGTAATACTTACTGCGGAGGAAATAATTATATCAGTCCAGCTATAGGTGCTGACTACAATCCCACCTGCTCTTAATATCCATCTAGGATTAAATGAAATAAATCCAGTACACGGAACGGAATCCAATGGGCTTCGGACACTAACTGCGATCCAATCATTCAAACCACCTTCAGAGGAGACACGGATCTCACATTGCTCTCACAGAGCCAGACTTTTGGCTTTTGGCTGTCTGGTCCACTTTGACAGGAAGAGACCATCTTCCATTACACCATAATAACAGACCAGCATAAAAAGTAAATGCTTCCTGATGCATCACGAACAACATTAAAGCAGCACAGGGTTTTAAGCTTTGGACCAACACATTTGAAAAAACCTGAACACAAGCATTACATTTTTATGACAGCAAGACTTTTGAAGTTTAACCATTTTGTCTCAAAACCCATGCTGTGAAATGTATCTGGTTGGGGTCAGATGGACCCAAAACAGCCTAATTATACATTGTTTTCTTAAGACGATTAGCCAACTAGCGATTCAGGCAATCCACCAACAAATCCATTACAAAGATAACTGATCATAATTTTGCACTTCCCTATATACAGGGACAATACCTAAAACATTTTTTAAAGGGATAGTTCAGTCATTTACTCACTCTCATGTGGATACAAACTAGGGCTGCACGATATTTGAAAAAAAATGACATTTTGATTTGTTTTTGTTTTTTTGCAATATAATTTGCAATATAAAAAATACAAGAATTTTTGAACAGCTATTTAGAAAGAATTAATAATTTTACAGCTAGTGGGGTGATTTTGATGGGAAGTGCATCTGCATGAAAAATAAAAAGAATTAAAAAAATAAGCTGACATTTTTTTTGAGTGAGAAAACCTTTTAGGGCTGAATGGTTTGGGAAAAACGTAAAAAAAATCTGGCTGTTCATACTTGGGTTTACTTTTTACTACTCAAAACTCTTTCAGTAACCATTTCCCAGTTTTTCTCTCTTTCTACTTTTTCATAGGTTTATCATATAAAGCAATTGTGTCTCTTTCTTCAGAAAACTTTGATTAAACCATTCAATTCATATAGATTCAAAAGTTTTGTTGGAATTGACTTTGTGGATGCACAGAAATCAGGTTTCATTAAAAATATCTTCATTTGTTTTTTGAAGATCTTATGGGTTTGAAACAGCTTGAGGGTGAGTAAATGATCATAATTGTAATTTTTGGGTGAACTATCCCTTTAACATTCAGTTTTCAAACAACTAACAATTACACAGATGTAGTAACTCTCACAAAATCCAGATCACCCATCTAAACATTTGAGTTTGGATCATCTGTGTCTGCCGTTAATCCTGTCTTGCACGCTACAGTACATAGTTGAGTGTTCAACTATTCACACTACTCACATATGCGCCATTCATTGTCTATGCAGAAATCAGTGCATACACAAAAATTGCGCAAAAACATCAGCGGATTGTGCTTATGATGTTACATCATACACAATGTCCTCGAGATGGGGAGGTCAACTGTCAGGTGAACATGAGCATTAAGAAATCCTACAGTTTAAACTCATGTTTGCATTGCTCACTTTAGTCAAGACCCACCCAAAATCTCCCCACCTTCAATCTAGTGAAAATTACATTGGAAATGTCTCTTTGTCCCAAATCTGTCTTTCTGTTCCCCGAATGCCTCATTCATCTTGGTGCAGCAGCTGTCAGCTACAAGAACAACAGATATCCAGCATCCCCAGACACGCGCCATTAGCTTGAAACTTGTTGAAAGGCGAGCTCTTTTAAAACACACCAACTCAAAACCCACAAACTGGTGACTCAGTGAAGCCGCTAATGTCATAAACTGATTGGTGACACAGCCGACGCAAGACAAAAAGGTGGAACCAATATAAAGCAAGGCTGTTGCATGAATGTACTTGTGACACATTCACTGAAGAATGCCAAAGCTAACTTCACTGATTTTCACCGCACTGGGAAACGTTTCTGTGGTTCATACTGACACTCCCAAGAAACCATTCAGCTGCTACTGCAGCATCAAACAGCTTTCTAGGATGAGGAGACGGAGAGCCCAGTGCATCACTGTAAGGATTTTCTCTGGTGTGGCATGTGTGACGGGTGAGTGCTGTACCTGCCAGTGCAGAGTTCACACTACTGGATCCGTTCATGTGTAGAGGGATGGTTGGGATGCTGTGGAGACAGAAACATACACACTTTAATGCATGCAGACATTAATGCATGAGAACAAAAGCATTTCACGATGACTTGCACTCCCATAACAGAAACTGCGTCATGTTCTTTTTATGATACAAAAGAGGGGGAATTCAGTTGGTTGAGATTGCTGTTGACGACCTAATAAAGATAACATGAAAGCAAGATACTTTCCAAGGGAATTCCCCAGCTTTCTCAAGCTGTCATGGTGTTATTCATGCTATGCCATCTGATATGTCTTTTAAATATACACTACCTTTTCAAAAGTTTAAGGTCAGTAAGAAAGCAAGAATACTTTTATTCAGCAAGGATGCATTACATTTATCAAAAGTGACAGTAAAGGCATTTGTAATGTTTTAGAATATTTCTATTTCAAATAAATGCCGTTCTTTTTAACTTTCTATTCGTCAAAGAATCTCGAAAAAAAAAAAAAAAGTAAAAACAGCACAACCGCATATTAGAATGACTTTTAAAGGATTATGTGACACTGAGTTATGATGCTGAAAATAAATTATATTTTAAAACATTCAATTAGAAATCAGTTATTTTAAACTGTGATAATATTTCACAATATTACCGTTTTACTGTATTTTGATCATGCAAATAAGTGAAAATTAAAAGACTTCATGATCATGCAAATAAGTGAAAATTAAGAGACTTCATGATCATGCAAATAAGTGAAAATTAAGAGACTTCTTTCACAAACATTAAAAAAAAAAACGTTACACACCAAAAACGGAAGTGTAGATGCACATAATCGGAGTACATAAAAAAAGAATTAAAAGGATTTCAAACAACGAAAAGAAAAAAAAACAACACTGGTAACCACTCATATAAAGAATAAAGCTTTTGAACAAATCAGAAAAAAAGATTTATGCAAATGTAAAACATAAGCATCTGATGTTTCTGCTACTTAAACAACTGTATTCATCCGCTGGTTGGCAAGCTGCTGTCTTTTTTATTTTCAATTGCTGTTTTCCTTACAATTCAACTTTGTTTTATCTATACAGTGGCACTCCAATTCACAGGAATTACAGCTCGCATGACACTCCCACAGTAATCTGAGAATCTCATGACAATGAGGTGGTAGATTTCCATCATTCCACACTGCGTAAAACTAACCAGCAGACACTGTGCGGGATGAATTAAGCACCAAAATGTAAACTTAAGTTTAAGAGTTTGTTTAAATGTCTCACCCTAAATATGAGCAAATCTGAACTTTAGTAAGCAACACTAATAAGTTATATACTCTCTGTCCAGATGTTGATCTTTTATTGCTTGTGTTTTATTATTCAGCTAGAGGTTTTGGTTTTGATTTCAGCTGAGACTGTTCATTCCAGAGTAAGCATGACAGATGTAGGGTATCAGACCGAATAAGATAATTTAAGATTTGATCAAGACCATGGTTGAAACACGAGGAGCCGAATTCCACAGAAAGGCCCAAGACACAGGATGTTCGTAAATCAGATCCTGGCGCCACAAGCCTGAAGCAAGTCCACCAACTAGCAGCTTTGAGTAGCTCACAGCATTTAAACAAAAGAACACTTATTGACAATTCCAAGGAGATTGTCAATTTTGGGGCAAGTAAGCAAGATTAATGGTCAAAGAGATGCACAGCCTGACCATCACATGTAAACCAGTGATAGTAATCACGATCAAGAGCTCTTTGGATTGACTTTCCCCCCACCTAGAAGACAAAGAACAGACTGAGATTCCTTATGAGAGACCTCTTAACCTCTGGTCTTCACAGAACATGTCCTTATGTTCAGAGAAATGGTACAGAAACTGTCTTTTACAGATGTAGATGCACCAAAATGAACTCAAAAAGACTTATAAACTAATATCAGTCCATTGCTTAACTCCATATTATGTATCTAACCCACACATTAGACTATCATGTTTTAATCACGTATTGTGTATGTCTTAAATACTCAGGACACCATCCAATCATTGCTTTTAGCGGGCTTTTTGCGTCTAGCTTTTAGCCTTTCGCCTTTTTAGTTATGTGCTTTTTAGTCATGCTTTTAGCAGGCTTTTTGCGTCTAGCTTTTAGTTTTTCGCTTTTAGTCATGTGCTTTCAAGTCATCACTTTTAGCCATGTGGCTTTTTAGTCATAGCTTTGAGCTATGCTTTTTAATCAGCTTCTTTAGCTTTTTGAGCGTGCTCTGGCTTACACGCCAGCTCCTCCAAAACCATGAGGAGAAACGCCACCTAGTCTCGTCAAACTTTACTTCTATTTCTTTACTTTAGTTTCTTTTCTTTTCCGTTGAGAGTTTCGTGTCCTGAGTTAAGTTGCCTAATGCCGTGTCTCAGAGTCCGACCTCGAGTGCAGTCTAAAACTTCAACCAGCCCACAACTCCGCGTCGTCAGCCAACGCCCAACCACTGGCTTCCCAAGACTGAACTTCCAGCCAATCAGCGACCGCGGGAAAACCCTTTCGGCAAAAATCTTAAATGATTCCCTTTGAGCTAAATTGACCTGTTTCCCTTACAGATTATAACTAAGTGTGGTGTACTTTGACCACTTGACAAGGAAACTAAGGTCTCATAAGCTCAGCTATGGATGTTTGTGTAAGTTTACTGTGTGAATGAGGAGTGAGAGAGGCATGCGTAAAAACAGACATTTCCTGGTTCCCCTTTCAACTCAGTTTTCCAGAAGAGAACAATAACTAAAATCTGGGTCTTCCCAGAAATTTGAACAATCTGGAGTTTTGTGTGAGGGCCAATGATTTCCCCACACAGATTTCACTTATGTTCCTGCTTTCAAACCTGCTTGGTTTGAAAGCGACTTCTGTGTGCGCTGTGCTTCATACATTGCTACACAATTGACAATGGACAATAGCCCTTTTTTGTTGTGAAATTCTGCTGAAATTTTGCTAATGTGACTGTACATTAACTTTCAGTTTTTTCCTTCTGCAGAATACATAATATTTTGAAGAATGTTGATAACCAAATAGTTTTGGTTACCATTGACTTTCACTGTATAGACAAAAACAAACTTTTCTAAACTCTTTTATGTTCTACAGAAAAAAAAACAAGAAGTCATACAGGTTTGGAATGACATGAGGCAGGGTAAATGACAGAATTTTCATTTTAGGGCAAATCATCTCTTCAGCATGTGTTAAGGTTAAGTTTGGTACTTGGTTTTGGGTTAGTACCTAGTTATTACTAGGGCTGTCGCGGTGAGGGAATTTCCCTTGT